TCCCTTTGCTACACCCTAAAATTTTATCCAGATAGTGAGCTGATGCCATTATATGGATCACCTCATTTGTTTTTATTTTCTTGGGAATCACAGTGCTGCACTGCCTTTTGTCCAATGTCTGAAATCCACTGTCTAATATATATACTGTCCAGTTTTCTAGTTGTTCAAGGGAAAACCATTACTGTATCATGAGAAGCAGAAACAAAAACCTCCTCATAAAGAGCTTTAATGAGGGCTATAAGGATCTTTGACTTTATCTCAAATGTAAAAATAAGTCACTGTAAGATATTAAGAAAGAAGATGGCATAGTCAGAGCAAAATTAGGAGAAGAGTTTGGACACTTTCTCTAGGACTTTGTCAGTGTTCATCCTTTGAGAGGAAACAGAGCTTGACATCAGTCTGAGAAAGGGAACTTTGATGCAGTAAAACAAACAAACAAACATACACTGCATTTGGAGTTAGAATGCTTAAAGAGAGTGAGTCCTGGTTCTGCCAGCTACTAATTATGTTGCCTTAGAAATTTTAATGAGTTAATAACTTAGTAGGTGACACAGGTCAATGAACTTGTTTCTTCACCAGCAAAATGATGGTAAAACCTACTTTCTCACAGGCGTCCTGGGAGAAGCAGTTGGACATAAGAATGGTCAGATTAATAGAAGTCAGGATGTGAGAGTTCTAATTGCATTTGAGCCACTAATGTGCTGTGTCAACTGCAAGTGTGGAAAGATTACCATTGGCAGGGACCTTATAATTAATTAATTTTAATACTTTTAATTTATGAATAAGAAAATTCAGACCTGAACTTTTCTATGTAATTTATCATTTTTTTCACTGATAAAATTATTCCAAGATTTCAGGATTTGGAAGTGAAAGCATCTTCCAGAATTCAAGTTTTGACAAACAAAAATGCAAAGTTTTATTCATATTTTAAAGGGTAAAAGAAAGGCTCTTAGTATAGGCTATGACTTCATTGCAAACATATAGTCAAGGTGACCCTAAATTCTTTTCCTTATGAATATGGGTGATAAAGTTGGGAACTGGCCAGGAATGTGGAGGGAAGGCAAATAGCTCACTTCCCCCTGGAGTAAGTATGAATTAGTGATAAGAAGCACAGTGCTAAATATTTTCCATATCCTATACCACAATTTAGAAGGAATAAATTGAAATGTCATCATAAACTAAAGATAAAACTACTATCAAACACTTAAAATATTTGTGAGAAAACTTGAGATGGGAATTCAGTGGAATCCCAAAGTCAAACTGTAATTCTATTAAGAAAGTTTGGTTAAGACCTGCTTTTATGATTTCTAGCTTAGTGGCAAGCCATAGTCCCTTTGTACTTATAATATTAAACTGATACTTTATATCATTTACCCTCTTACCTCTCTTCATTAAAAGTGAGTTTTTATAGTTTCTGCTTCCAGGAATATGAAGTAAGTATACTTTTCCCTATTTCACCTGCTAAGTACAATTAAATATAAGATATAAAATAAATGTAAGAATACTTTGAAAGATAGAGAGAAGGTGGTGGTCAGGGTGGGATCTCAGGATCTAAGGACCAATATAGAGGTGTCCTCTTGCCTTGTACATCCCAATTGGAAGTGAAGAAGTCAGAAACCTGTAAACACCAAAGGATACAGACAACACCCCCCCAAATCCCACTTTCTCTGCCAAAAGACCAGAAAGTGGGGAGTCTCTCACCTGCAAAGTGTGAGTGGGGAGCCTAGACTTCCATCCTCACCAGGCCTTAACGAGATGCCCCAAACTCCTGCTGGGGTAGTTTCAGAGAAGGCTAAGTAGGAGGCTGAATTTTATCAAACCCAGTAGTAATGAGGGGCCTTCCACCACCCAGCTGGAGTGATGTCAGAGGAGGCTGAGTAGAGAGTCAGAACTCTCACCCCTGCTCAGCATGGGATCATTAGAGGCCAAGTGGGGAGAGTACTGGACCTTCCTATCCCTCCAGCCAAGTTAAGATACTTAGCTGGGAGTGAAAATTCCCACAGCTGCCCAGCACTAACAAGCTTCCTCTCCCCTCAGTATCAAAGAAGGGAACCTGGCTGTCTGTTCCCACCCAGAAGTAATGAGGCAGTCTCCTCCACATTTCTCCTTCAAGAGTGGTGCCAGAGAAAGCAGCTAAAACAAGAGGTTTAAATAATCCAGACTTTCGGGCTTCCCTGGTGGGGCTGTGGTTGAGAGTCTGCCTGCCGATGCAGGGGACACGGGTTTGTGCCCCGGTCTGGGAAAATCCCACGTGCCGTGGAGCGACTGGGCCCGTGAGCCATGGCCGCTGAGCCTGCGCGTCTGGAGCCTGTGTTCCACAAGGGGAGAGGCCACAACAGTGAGAGGCCCGCGTACCGCAAAAAAAAAAAAAAAAAAAGAATAAATAAATAAATAAATAATCCAGACTTTCATAACGCAGTCCCCCAAATGTCCAGATTTCAATAGAAAAATTACTCATCATACTGAGAATCAGGAGGATCTCAAGCTGAATAAAAAGACAATCAATAGATGCCAACACCAGGATGGTAGATACTAGAATTACCTGTCAAAGATTTAAAGCAGTCATCATACAAATGCATCGATGAACAATTATGAACATGATTGAAACAAATAAAAAACACAGATCCTCGGCAAGGAAGTAGAAAATACAAAGAATACCTAAATGGAAATTTAGAACTAAAAATACAATAACAGAAATTAAAAACTCAGAGGACCATATGAGGAGCAGAATGGAGGGAACAGAGAAAAGGAGGCATAAAAGGATGATAGAACAATAGGAATTACTCAATCTGAACATCAACAAGGATAAGACACACTGAAAAAAGGAAATGAACAAAGCCGCAGACACCTGGGAGACTGTCATAATTTATCGTATGTGGCTACTTGCCTAAGCCGTAGTATCCAGATCACTTGTCAAACATTATTTTAGATATTTTTGTGAAGGTATTTTTTAGATAAGATTAACATTTAAATCAGTAGACTTTGAGTGACGCAAATTACTCCCCATAATGTGAGTGGGCTGCATGCAATCATTTGAAGGTCTTAATAGAAAAAAAAATTACCTCCCCTGATAAACAGGGAATTCTGCCAGCAAACAACTTTGGATTTGAGCTGCAACTCTTGCCTGGGTACCCTGCAGATTCTGGATTTGCAAAACCTCCACAAATATGTGTGTCAACTCCTTAAAATCTCTCTAGGTAGGTAGATAGATAGAGATAGGCAGGAAAGAGGGCTGAAAAAGTACTGAAAGAAATGATGGTGGAAAACTTCACAAATTTAGCAAAAGACATAAAATACAGATTCAAGAAACTGAGTAGAACCCAAACAGGATAAACTCAAAGAAATCCACACCAAGAAATGGTAGAGTCAAATTTCTGCAAACTAGAGACAAAGACAACGTCTGTAAAGCAGTGAATAAGGAAATGATACCTTTTCTGTAGGGGAAAAATAATTCAAATGACAATGGATTTCTCTGACCAGATATCACGGAAGCCAGAAGGAAGTGACACAGTATTTTTCAAGGGCTAAAAGAAAAGAAATATTAAGCAGAAACCAACCATACTGGCATCTTGATTTTGGACTTCCAGCCTCCAGATGATGAGAGTGCAATTTCCATTGTTTAAACCACTCAATTATATTTTGTCATGGTAGCCTGAGCTGCCTACCCAGGGAGAAGGTGGGTTAAGGGTACACAGGGTTTCTCTATTATTTCTAACAACTTCATGTGAATCATCTTCAAACATCTCAAAATAAAAAGTTTAATTAAAAAGAATAAAATTTTACATAAATACCCTGAAAATCAATCTTGTTTTAAAACTGTTTTTAGAATGTCTTTGCATTCCATAATACCTCCCATTCATATGGTTCTTGACATTGTTCCAGGTGTTTTTAGACAATACCTCTCACCAGAACTTGGTTACCTGCTGGGCAGCCACTGTTGCCCTTTTAGACATGAGGAATCTGCAACTTCTAGACGTGAGCTAGCTGGAAAATAGTTGCATAACAAATAAGAGTTGAGGCTTTGGCCCTGACTCAGGGACTTCTTCCATTACAACTAGACTACCTTGGAATCGCGAGTTTGCCTAGCCATCGAAGAGAATGAACTACCTCTATATCCCTAAGAATACAGTGAAAATCAATGTAGAATTATATAGGAATATATTAGGTCCAGGCCGACAGTATCAGGAGCAGTGTGACTCTCCAAATCCCAAGGAGTAGTCAAAGTTGACTTGACTGGTCCTTGACTGAAGATGCATCTGGACAGGACACCTCTGAGAAGGCAGAGGAAGTGCAGGTTCAAGGGCTTCATGAGCACACAAGAGTTAACTTCCAGTTAGTTATTCTAGCTCCAGCCCTCCAGATGAGGCTTTCCTGTGCACACCCTCTGCATGTAGAACTTGTAGAAAAAACTGTCTCCACAGAATACGTTCAAGTATAACTATGTAAGGAATGTATGGGGGAAAGTAGTGATTCTCTGTTTGCTTTTCATTAGGAATGGATTCCTGGTATTCACTGTCCCAAGCAGAAAATCAAGGCTGGTTCCTAAAAACCAACTGTCTTTACTTTGTGGGCCTCGGCCAGGTTTATAGAAAATATTATGTGATGCAAAAATAATGGAGCTGGGCTTAGAGTCCTCTAACTCCAGCTGCACTCCCTGTGTTGGGAATCGATTTGAATGGCAGTTTCTACCTTTCAGCCAAGAGCCCAAGGTTTTATTTAGCATTTGAGAATTCAGGACAGAAAGAACTTCCCGGATAATTGTTATTTTGTGAAAACACACAGTAAGCTAAATTTACTGTAGCAAGAGCCCATTCAAATGTAGAAATCAGTGTGTGTATGTGTGACAAGTCATGGCACTTGGCTCACTGTTATTACTTTAATTTCCTTTTTCAGGCTATAAACCACCAAGGTGCTTTGACAAGAGGCTTGTTAAATGTAGATCGGAACTAAGTTATTCACCGTGTTGAGTATATCTATGAAAACCAAAATTTATCTTTCAGGTAGTCTGATGACTCACTTGGATCTTTCATACAACAAGAGAACCAAATAATCAGATGATTCCCAATGTTCACCTGAACGTTTTACGTGACGGAAGTGCCACAAGCCACAGTCAACTAACGTTAAATTAGTACATCTTGGGGCATCACAGTTACACCTTTGCCCAGCTCTACCATCAGGAGTTATATCTACTGTCATCACGACCATACTTCAGAAGGCCACTTGAATAGTGAACAGCAACTTTGATCAGGGCATTTATATCATCTAGATCTGTTAGTTTCTTAATTTGCTAGTAATAATAATAGCTACTACTTATTAAATTGTAATTATTTGCCATGCACTGACGTAGGGGCTATGCATGTATTATATCATTTAATCCTCACAAGAACTGAAGAGGTGCATTGGATTGGCACAGTATTACAGATGAGGAAACTGACCAGGTAAGTACCAATCCTGAGATTTCATGTCTGGCAAGTACGGAGGTGGGAGTTGAATACAGGTCTGGCTCTCAAAACCCATGTTTTTTTTCTCCCATTCAACATGTTGCATTGACACTAAAACAGGACCCAGAGATTATTGTGTTGAAACCAAGTGTTAGAATATTGAATTCTGATTCTGAATCCCTACAGTTTTTAAAACCTCAAAAGCTGCTGTGATATGCCCCATGTGTAGCAAATTTGAGGAATCCATTACGCTGATTTAAGTATCTTTGAACAGTTTTTCAGTGTTACCTTTATTAGTTGGTGACATTTTATCTCACTTGTTTTAAGTCCTGGACATTTGGCTGGTCAATATTTAGTGCCTTCAGAAAGTGTATTCTGATGACAAGAACATAAAGCAATTTAAACCAGGAGACCTGGGCCCCAGTTTTATTTTCACATTAGTTTTGCAGTTGTGAAATTAGACAAGTCAGTTCAGCAATCTGTGCTACAGTTTTTTTATGGGTCAAAGGGACATAATATCTGCATTACTTTACCAGCTAGGAATGTTCTCAGTTGAAAGCAACAAAATACATGAATAACAGTAGTTAAAGCATAAGGATATTGATTCTTTATTTAATAAAAAGTTTGGAGATGGGAGGCCTAAGAATAGAGCAGCAACTCAACAACGGTATCAAGGACCCATTCTTTCTTATGTCCATTGTACCCTATCCACTATTTGCTGGTTTTCCATCCTTGTTGTCTCATGGTTGCAAAATGGCTGCTGCAGCTCCAGTATCATATCCACACTTGACAAAGAAAAGAATAAAGAAGGAACAGAACTAATTAAACTCTCCTTTGGAGCTGTTCTTTTAATCAAGAGGCACACTCAGAAATCCCATGGCACACTTTCCCTTATGACCTCATTGTCAAAAATTAGGCCATTTGGCCACCCACCCCTTACTGAGAGGCCAAGATATCAAGTGTCTGGTTTTTCAGCCTTGGTACTGGAAGGCAGAAAGGGAGAGAAAATGGTTCAGAATGATTTGTGTAGATAACCATCAGTATCTCCCACATTCATGACATCGAGGCATTTGTTTACACAAAACAAACTTTCCTCTTTATTCCTCTTCATCCAAAATAATTTGTAATCAGTATTGTAGACATTGTGTATATCCAACCATATTTTGCTAGGTAATGTTTCATATACGTGAACCACAAAAATGCAAAGTGGATACCATATATATTCAAGAAATGAATTATTCCCATGCAGGAAAATGCTCACCTGTGATCTAATGCCCGATACATTTTTCATGTCACCTCTTACATTTGTGTTCTCTTCCTGTTTCAGTGAATAGTAAACTAGATGTGAGCTATGTATAAATAATGCCAGAACATCTGGATGAAATGGGAAAAAAATCAATTATCTGGATGTTTTGTCTACATAATATCAAAACATGTAGCACTGTGTAGACAAAACATCTAGATGATTGAATATTTTACTTTTCATCCAGACAGTTTGTTGTCATGTGGACAAAAAGTACTGCCAAGTTAGGGACATAAGAAAAAAACAGGATATAGCAAAACTTGCCTGATTCATAGAGTTCAAGAATTGTTGCTTAGCTTATTATGGGAAAGGAGGACAATTGATGAGATATTGTGTCAATTAATTTTTAAAAATGCTAGGCTTTACTGGAATAAGCTTCTTACTGCATGTTCACAGTGATCATGATAAATGGTGGTTCCATTCTGAGACACTTAATAGAAAACACACAAACCACTTTTTATACAACATTATGTTTATTTTACAAATGAAGCAATGCATTCACAGAAAAGAACAGTGACTACTAAAGCACTCATTTATATCCTGGAAGAACAAATATAGAAATAAATTCTAGTTGTCTAATCATGGGTCAACTCATCAGCCCAGATTCAGTTCCAATTCAATAATTATTTACCTTTGCTGTTCCAGGTACTATGCTGGTCACTTTTTCATATGTAAGTCATCATTTAATTTATTCTACATTAATTTTGTGGGGTTCCTATTGTAATTCCCATTTTTTAAATGGGAATCTGGGTGTTAAATATAAAGAAAAATCTCCAAAATCTCACAGGTTGATTATGTCTGCAAATAACATGGAACTAAAAAAATTTTTTTTCATTTAGCATGACTTATTTTGAGTAGAATAAAGAAACGAGAGTCGTAAAAGACCAAATTTCTAGAGTTTGGTGTTACGATTCCTAAAAAAGCTGGGAAATATGGCTAAATGCACTGTCATTCTATTTTGTTTTGTGTATTGTAATATATATATATATATATATATATTCTTTTTTTTCCATGTTCTAAATCCAGTATACCTAATTGAGAACTAAAGTTGACAAAGAGGGATATTAGTATTCAACAGGAATCTATTTTATCCTTGAAGAACCTGATAGAGCAACATCCTTAAATACTATCTGGAGGGCCTCACTGAGATAACAAATTAAGTTTTATGACTCACTATTCCCACTGCTTCTTAAGCAGACTGTTCCAAATTCAATACACAGAGGTCACTAGGGGAACATTCTGTCTTCAAAGTCAGCCTTCTGTAGTCTCTTATTTTTCTGGCAGTGACTTAGCTGGATGTGGTAGTAACTGTGAGCTAGGAGAACTATGGAGCCAAAATTTGTGTGATCAGGACCCAGTGGTCTGAGATTTTCCAAGTCAAAAACTGTCAAAAATACCATCAGTAAGGGGATGGGTCTGAGCCGTAAAGCAGTAGAATTTTCAACTCGGGCCATCCTTGTGATAACCCCCGAGTCCTGCAGCCACTTTGTTTAATACAGATTTTTCTGATTTATGACTGTGGTATTAGGGCTGGCACAAGTCTCTCTCTCTCTCTCCCCCACTTTTTTTTTTAACAGAAAAAACTCACATCAAATTCCAGTCAAGAAGCTTCAAGGTAAACTCCGCTATGCAGCGCGTTCGTGCATTTCCCAGCGTTACGGTTCAGCTTCCGATTAAGGCAATATGTTTAAAACCTGTATTGGGTTTTGGAATTAGATAGTGGTAATGGTCGCACAACTCTGAAAAAATACTGAAAAGTACTGAATTATACACTTCAAAAGGGTGAATTTTATGGTATGAGAGTAGTATCTCAGTTTAAAAACACTGTATTGGAGTAATTCAAATGGCTTCTTGGACATCAAATAGATCTTAAAAAACAATATTTTGGTGATTTAAGTGTAAATGAAACAGAAACATATGGAGTAAATTTCTGCAAAATTGCACATGATTTCAAAAATTAAGGGGGAAACGTTCTTGGCAAAACTTAGTTGGGTTTCATCTAACCCAAAATATTTGAAAAATAAATTGAGACATTTCATAAACCAAAATACAGCTGTTTTTTCCATGCAGTATGTATTTGCTATGCACTGTCCTTCTCACTAAGTACATTTCTACTTATATTGGAAGATACGGTCAGTTCAGGTACCCAGGTACAAAGTCATGAATATTTAAGGTATCAGACAGCATAAAGCAAGGTCAAGCTGTGGAAATTTTGCTACGGTATATTAAACAGTATTTTCAAGGAAATATTCCTTACTGAAACAATTAGAGGAGAAAGCCTCTTGTAACTGACTCTGAGTTAAATTCAAAAGCACAGAAAACTGAAATCTCTAAGACTATTCATCAGAGGTTATGCCATCTCCATTATACGTTAACACGCTCTGGGCATATTAAGTACCATTGTCACTGAAAAAGCAGTCTTCTATATGGCTTTATAAAACCCAATCACAAAAATGGTAGATATTTACACCATATATATCAGATTTTTGAAGTTGTCAGGCAAAACCTTGAAATCATTTTAAATCCATATATCTATTTATTTTCTCATTTCTCTTCTATTTCATCCTAGACTGCAAACTAGGCAGCAGCTGTGAGTGTCCTTTTCACAGCTGATACATTGTTCATCTTCCCACCCCACCTCCAATGGAATGTGCTGAGAGGTAAGAGTTCCATTTTGCCTTACTGGAGACATTTCATATACCCACATAGCCGGCTATGTTTTCCTGTAAAGCTGTGGCCAGCTTGGTAGTGCACACACTTGAATTTGTTTCCTCCTGTGCTTTTTTCCCTCATTTTTGCTTCACCAGATAGGAAGGTAAACTTTGTTCTACCCTAATTGTAGGCATCTAGGCGAAGATGAAAGCCGTCCCTTGGGATAGGACTTTGTCTGGAGGTGACATGGAGGACAAATGGAGTAGTAACAGTTACTAAAGCTTTCATCTAATGATCATTGAAGTGCTGTCAGTGGAAAGCAGGGCATCAGGAGACAATGTGGCTTCTGTTCTTGATTGGTAAGAGGGATGTTGTAATAATAAAGATCGTGGTGAGAAGGGGGATACTTTGTTACCAGTAGAGGACTTGTAAGAAGTAAATGATGGGCTTAGGGCAACAAATTGCCAACTTAAATCACATTTCGAAAGCCCAAGGGCCTCCCTGGCAGCTTTAAAGTGAATGTTCCCTTCCTTCACACAGAGAAGATGAAAATTGAAAATCAGGCCCAGTATCCGATTACCAGCATGGCAGAATTGCAAAGGAAACTAAATGTGCACCGTAGATCTTTCATAATGAAGTTGAGACCTGATATAAAGAGTAAGAATGGGGAATTTTATTTTATTTAAAGTTTTGTTTTATTGGGTTGGCCAAAAAGTTCGTTCGGGTTTCTCCATAAGATCTTACGGAAATATATTGGAGTACAGTTGATTAACAATGTTGTGTTAGTTTCAGGTGTACAGCAAAGTGATTTGGTTATACATATACATGTACCTATTCTTTTTCAAGTTCCTTTCCCATTTAGGTTATTACAGAATATTGAGCAGTGTTCCCTGTGCTATACAGTAGGTCCTTGTTGGTTATCTACTTTAAATATAGCTGTGTGTATATGTCAGTAGATCAACACGTCTAATAATCTTTGTCCCTCAATTACCAGAACTCTATTGGTCAGCAAAAGGAGTCCCCTTACCACCTGCCGGAGGAGAACAAACCCCCCTTGCCTGGAGATTGTACAAAGACTTCACCTGAAACATGTCTCTCTCAATACGAATCTTTTTTTTTTTTCAAATGGTCTGTCCCTACTACTCCTCACTGTGACTAGGCTAGGTGACAACACTTATTAGTCTGAGGCAAAGTAGATGTAATTATTCTAACAGTGATGTTGGAGTGGGAATGGGAATCACAATGTTTGATCCACAGGAATTTACGGCAACTATGTTTGGAAAAGTCAGAAAAGACAAAGAAGTGTTTAGATAACTATGGTGTTGCTTGAGTGGTATAATTAAAAAATATCAAAGTCTGATGAACTGAAGGATGATGTCAACAGCTACAATGGAAATTCAAGTTTCCTCACCCTATTTCGAGATCTAAGTTAATTCACAGACCCAGAGCCATTGAAGGGGAGACATGGTAAGTGGAGTGAAGGGTAGGCATTTCCCCAATCCTTCCCCAAAGGACACATGGCCAATTTTCAGAGCACCCATGCATTGGGGAAAGAAGAATACCCAAATATTAAAGAGCTGTTAGATACAGAATCTGAGCATCCATTGATCTAATTAGACTTAAATTGCCTTTGTGGTCTTCTGGTTAAGAAGGGCACTTTAAAGAGATTTGAGGAGAAGCAGTAGATGGAGAAAACTTCCAACGATATGGGTGGGGCTAGAACTGAACACCCAGAGTGACTTTTGAAACCAGAGGATAGGGTTGGTGGAGACAATAATTATACATGCCTAGAGAAGTTAGCAAAGGAAACAGTATATGGCAAGATGGAGACCGAGAGAGGAAAGAATTTCAAATAGGAAATGGCTTGTCAATAAACATTCTGTAGCAAGATCTCCATTTGTTCTGAGGGTTAACTCCTGAGTGTTTATTTCCATTTGTAGAGCAGCAGAAGACAAGTTCTGCCCACAGCGGTTCATGATGAAAAGGCAATTCTGTTTTGCTCTCCTTCTTCAGACGGTTCTCACGAAGAGACAGGCAAGCCTTCTTGGAGTGGGGCTAGAACAGGGCAAGAATAGATGCCTGGAGTAAAGTTTTGTCTAGTGGGAATATGGAGCTAAGGGACAGACAGATTGGTTTAGCTCTCAGTTACATGCCCTTCTAGCATTATGGCCTTGGGCAAGTGTATTAAAATTGGAAGGGACCTTGGGAGGCATTAAACAGAAAAGGAATTTTGAAGACTCTTTTCGCCTGGGCTCCCTGGAAAACAGAGCCTGAAGAAAAGTTTACATGCTAACACTTTATCAAATTATGCAATCCCATGCATAAGCAAGGGGAAAGGGGAAGTGATTCAGGGCACAAAGAGAAGGCAAAAGCAAATATGGGGTTACTTTACCCAGATGACCACATCATCCCAAGAAAATACAACTCTTTCCTTGGCCAAATAAGAGTTTTATAAATTATTAAAATTAATAGGTGAATTTATCAAGGTCAGTGTAAAATTAAATTAATTTACATATATCAGCAACAAACAATTAGAAAAGTAAATACATTGAGAAAAAAAGGAAAGGTTGTACCCATTTCACTGTTAGAGTAATCTACATCCCACCTATTTCCATAAACAGAGTCTAGAATATACATGTTTACAATCAGCTCTGAATTTTCAGTTACACAGAAGTGTCCTCAGAAAATATTCAAGCAATTTCCCTGAAAAAGATTGTGATGGTAAATAATGTCCTGTGACCATTTGTAGAGCCTTATTAAATTATCCTCTGATGGTTGATAGCTTTGGTTTTCAAGAAAACAGTGTATCTTCCACGGTAAGCTATAAGCAGAACCATTTCAAAGTTGTCTCCAGGTTCTTAATTGAGACATCTCTCTCGTCTACCTAAACATCTTCATCATACAACCCAGATAAATCTCATCCTTTCTTAGCTCTCCCCAGTATAACACCTGTATTCTGTTTGGTCCTTCTCCACCTGGACCTCTGTCCCACTTCTATGACTCCTTAGGACTTCACAGAGCTTCATGTAACACAGGCCTGTTGAAGTTGGAAGTCAATGTGTGTATCAACAAGAGATTATGATATTGACATAAATATAGACACAGAGATTTAAGTAATTGAAACAAGCCATTCATGTTTAAACAACATGAAAATAACAGTTTCACCTCCCTGAGCTATCACTATTAATAAAAGTGTTTTCCAGTCTGTTGTAAAAGTCATCACCAGCACCAGCTCTCACTTCTTGGTTCCTCCCAAGACACTGGGTCTATTTTCCTTGATAAATGTGAACACTTTTTTTAAAGGACCCTCTTTTAAAAGCTGGTAAACTACAGACTTAAAACGTATTTTCAGTTTCCCAAACTTTTTCTACAGTCTAACCAGAGAGTCATGCAATGCTTTTCTAAACAAAATGCTATAGCGTTTTAACCTTCAGATAATCTCTCTGAAGAGTGTATAAAAAATTTGGAGTGCCCAAAAAGAACTATTTTGAGAATTGTTTAAATAGCGCCAACCTTCGGTCACCTACGCCACCTACCTGTGTATAAAATTCTGACACTGCATTGTACATGTGTTCATAATAAACTCACAAAGTATTTAGATCTGTGTGAAATTTTTCTTTTTTCTTTTTCTTTTTTCCTTAGCTAAATATAGTGGAAAGCGAAAAATATTTATTCGGTGAAAATGTCACATTTTGTGAGTCATTCATTCAACATTGTTTGGTTAATTTGATTTTGTTGGGCATTTTTATAAATCCGATATATTTACCCAGAGGACTTTTGGCACTGGCAGCATATTAAAATCAGCAGAAAAATAGCTATCTAGCCTAGGATTGAGAAGACTCAATTGCATCCAGATGAGGACCAATTCCACTTCATGTTTCCAGAGCAAATAAAATTAATTGTGTCAAAAATTAATCCTTTGGAGACTTCTGGAATGTTTATTTATTCCCATTCTAATTACTGTGGTATTTTAGCGACCCTATTTTGCATTATCTACACATTCTCTCAACTTCCTTCTCGTTTAACTTCTTGTTCATTATCCTCCTTATTTCTGAGTCAGATAGTTTTTCTGAACCCACAATTGAAATGGAGAATTGAGGCAAATATATAGGGGATTTGAGTAAAGCAAAACCACATATTTTTCAAATTTAGATCTCATTTTGGACCCCCAACTAATTGTTTGACTCCATGCTTTCCTTTATCCAGTGTGCCTTATCAGAGAATCCTCCTTAAACACTCTTTTGCAACTTATCTGTCCAAAGTTAGGTGGGCGTCTTTGAATGCCCAGTGTTGGGATCCTCACGTGGGTGACTTCCATGGAAGAGAAAAGGAGAGAGTTTAGATTGATTACCTGTTGGTCAAAGGGCACAAACTTCCAAGTAGAAGGTGAATAATTTCCGGAGCTCTAATGCACAGCAAAGTGATAATAGTCAACAACGCTGTGTTATATACTTCAAAGTTGCTAAGAGAGTAGATCTTAAGTGTTTTCACCACAGAAAAGAAACCATCACTATGTGACATGATTGACGTGTAAACTAATGTGACTGCTGTCATCATATTGTATCAATGTAATATCAACATATTATATGATATATCAATGTCTCAAATCAACACGTTGTTCTCCCTAGACTACAGAATGTTATATGCCAATTATACCCCAATTTAAATAAAATTGTATAAGTGAATGAATTGGCTAGTCTATGAGCCATTCCAGGAAAAAAAAAAAGGTAATTATTCATTAATTATAACTTAGTTTGGATCACGAGAATTATTTTTAAATTTTATTTTATTTATTACTTTGGCCTTTCCCAAGATTAAACCCAAAGACAAATAATAAACATAGTAAAATAATATGAAACAAGTTGTAAGGGCAATTTCCCTAAGGAAGTTCGAGAAATGAGCTGAAAAATGGAGCATCTCTGAAAGAAGTACCAGTCTTCTAAGGTGGGCCCTGGAAGAATCATACCTCTGAGGATGAAAAAGCCTCCATGAACCTGTCTAGCAAACAAAACCACAGTATTAATCCTGCAGCGATAGTTCTTTTATTCAGACTTTCACTGTGTTTTACTTCCTCTGCATGAAATTTGACTCCTCAACATTTCTGCACAGTCGTGTCCTCCTGCATTTTCAGAATCCTCCATAAGTTCAGGGTAGTTCTAAGTATATAATAAGATCGTTATATTCGTACATTGGCAGATTTTTTAATACACTTCTTTATCTGCTTTTGGATCAACTAAATAAATTCAGACAAAAGTTATTTGCTTTAATCTATTCATACAGAATCTTGATTTGAAAATAGGTCCATTTTTATCAGTTAAATGAACTCAGTAATCTATTTAAAATAATTAGTATGAATTATTTTTAAACCGGAGTAAAAAGGCAGATGAAATTTCTATAGATAGAGTCTTCCTATTTCTTTGGCTATATTTAGCAACTTCTATTTGCTATATTGCTTCCTGTTTTAGTACCAATAAGCAGGCTGGTGTGCCTTATGTAAATGATATGCTGAAGAAATTTATTGTAATTTAAAAACTTCTGTTAGGCATAAATCTGTTACTTTACACAATGCCAGTTGCAATAGGCTAAATTAAAATTCATGTAGCTTCGCTTCATACACCCTTAAAAGGAATCTAAAGACTATCTACACAATGTCAAATAGTTGGAAAGGAAAAGACACCTAAAAATGAAGTAATTTATTGTTATATCTATGAAGAAATATTTTTGATGTCATATACTCCAGACATGTATAGTTAGACCAAAAGTTTCAATTTTCTTTCAAGTGTTTTATATTGGGTGTGGCATCATGTAGGTAGACTTTATCACTTGAGGATTTCAAGCACTAATCAGGGACATGATATTTATCCACATAACTAACGTATTAGTCTGTTCAGGCTACTATAACAAAATGTCATAGATTGAGTAGCTTATATACAACAGAAATTTATTTCTCACAGTTCCAGAAGCTGGAAGTGCAAGATCAAGGTACAGTCAGAATTGGTGTCTGCGGGGGCGGGGTGGGGGGGGCGGCTAATTCCCTGGTTCATAGTCTTCTCACTGTGTCCTCACATATCAGAAAGGGCAAGGGAACTCCTTGGGGTCTCTTTCATAAGGGCACAAGTCTCATTCATG